TGTGCGATCGTAAAACCATCGAATTTGTGATTTTCAATAAGTTTCTCAAAACTCTAATATTTTGCATATTTTAACATGTGCGATCGTAAAACCATCGTATTTGTAACTTTAAGCAAATTTCTCAAAACTCTTATATTTTGCACATTTTAACATGTACGCTCGCAAAACCATCGAATTTGTGACTTTAAGTAAATTGCTCAAAACTCTTATATTTTGCACATTTTAACATGTACGTTCGCAAAACCATCGAATTTGTGACTTTAAGTAAATTGCTCAAAACTCTAATATTTTGCATATTTTAACATGTACGATCGTAAAACCATCGAATTTGTGATTTTCAATAAGTTTCTCAAACTCTATATTTTGCATATTTTAACATGTGCGATCGTAAAACTATCGAATTTGTGATTTTCAGTAAGTTTCTAAAAACTTATATTTTACACATTTTAACATATACGATCGTAAAACCATCGAATTTGTGATTTTCAATGAGTTTCTCAAAACTCTAATATTTTGCATATTTTAACATGTGCGATCGTAAAACCATCGAATTTGTGATTTTCAGTAAGTTTCTCAAAACTCTTATATTTTGCATATTTTAACATGTGCGCTCGTAAAATCATCGAATTTGTGATTTTCAGTAAGTTTCTATAACTCTTATATTTTGCACATTTTAACATGTACGTTCGCAAAACCATCGAATTTGTGACTTTAAGTAAATTGCTCAAAACTCTTATATTTTGCATATTTTAACATGTACGATCGTAAAACCATCGAATTTGTGATTTTCAGTAAGTTTCTCAAAACTTTTACATTTTACACATTTTAACATGTACGATCGTGAAAGCATCGAATTTGTGATTTTCAATAAGTTTCTCAAAACTCTAATATTTTGCATATTATAACATGTACGATCGTAAAACCATCGAATTTGTGATTTTCAATAAGTTTCTCAAAACTCTATTATTTTGCATATTTTAACATGTGCGATCGTAAAACCATCGAATTAGTGACTTTAAGCAAATTTCTAAAAACTCTAATATTTTACACATTTTAACATGTACGATCGTAAAACCATCGAATTTGTGATTTTTTCAATAAGTTTCTCAAAACTCTAATATTTTGCATATTTTAACATGTGCGATCGTAAAACCATCGAATTTGTGATTTTCAGTAAGTTTCTCAAAACTTTTACCTTTTACACATTTTAACATGTACGATCGTGAAACCATCGAATTTGTGATTTTCAATAAGTTTCTCAAAACTCTAATATTTTGCATATTTTAACATGTGCGATCGTAAAACCATCGAATTTGTGACTTTAAGCAAATTTCTCAAAACTCTTATATTTTGCACATTTTAACATGTACGCTCGCAAAACCATCGAATTTGTGACTAAGTAAATTGCTCAAAACTCTTATATTTTGCATATTTTAATATGTACGATCGTAAAACCATCGAATATGTGATTTTCAATAAGTTTCTCAAAACTCTAATATTTTGCATATTTCAACATGTGCGATCGTAAAACCATCGAATTTGTGATTTTCAATAAGTTTCTCAAAACTCTAATATTTTGCATATTTTAACATGTGCGATCGTAAAACCATCGTATTTGTAACTTTAAGCAAATTTCTCAAAACTCTTATATTTTGCACATTTTAACATGTACGCTCGCAAAACCATCGAATTTGTGACTTTAAGTAAATTGCTCAAAACTCTTATATTTTGCACATTTTAACATGTACGTTCGCAAAACCATCGAATTTGTGACTTTAAGTAAATTGCTCAAAACTCTTATATTTTGCATATTTTAACATGTACGATCGTAAAACCATCGAATTTGTGATTTTCAGTAAGTTTCTCAAAACTTTTACATTTTACACATTTTAACATGTACGATCGTGAAAGCATCGAATTTGTGATTTTCAATAAGTTTCTCAAAACTCTAATATTTTGCATATTATAACATGTACGATCGTAAAACCATCGAATTTGTGATTTTCAATAAGTTTCTCAAAACTCTATTATTTTGCATATTTTAACATGTGCGATCGTAAAACCATCGAATTAGTGACTTTAAGCAAATTTCTAAAAACTCTAATATTTTACACATTTTAACATGTACGATCGTAAAACCATCGAATTTGTGATTTTCAATAAGTTTCTCAAAACTCTAAAATTTTGTGCGATCGTAAAACCATCGAATTTGTGATTTTCAATAAGTTTTTCAAAACTCTAATATTTTGCATATTTTAACATGTGCGTTCGTAAAACCATCGAATTTGTGAATTTTCAGTAAGTTTCTCAAAACTCTTATATTTTGCATATTTTAACATGTACGATCGTAAAACCATCGAATTTGTGATTTTCAATAAGTTTCTCAAAACTCCTATATTTTGCATATTTTAACATGTACGATCGTAAAACCATCGAATTTGTGATTTTCAACAAGTTTCTCAAAACTCTAATATTTTGCACATTTTAACATGTACGATCGTAAAACCATGGAATATGTGACTTTAAGCAAGTTTCTCATAACTCTTATATTTTGCATATTTTAACATGTACGATCGTAAAACCATCGAATTTGTGATTTTCAGTAGGTTTCTCAAAACTCTTATATTTTGCATATTTTAACATGTGCGATCGTAAAACCATCAAATTTGTGATTTTCAATAAGTTTCTCAAAACTATTATATTTTGCATATTTTAACATGTACGATCGTAAAACCATCGAATTTCCGATTTTCAGTAAGTTTCTCAAAACTCTTATATTTTACACATTTTAACATGTACGATCGTAAAACCACCGAATTTGTGATTTTCAACAAGTTTCTCAAAACTATTATATTTTGCATATTTTAACATGTGCGATCGTAAAACCATCGAATTTGTGATTTTCAGTAAGATTCTCAAAACTCTTATATTTTGCATATTTTAACATGTACGATCGTGAAACCATCGAATTTGTGATTTTCAATAAGTTTCTCAAAACTCTTATATTTTGCATATTTTAACATGTGCGATCGTAAAACCATCGAATTTGTGATTTTCAATAAGTTTCTCAAAACTCTTATATTTTGCATATTTTAACATGTACGATCGTAAAACCACCGAATTTGTGATTTTCAACAAGTTTCTCAAAACTC